GTGTGTCTGTCCGCACGTCCGTCTGTCTTACTGCTCTTGTGTGTCTATTAAGTTTGAGTTTGAATTCGAGCATATGCTTTTGTACTTTGCTAATAATTTAAATAACAAAAGTTGTAAGTAAGTAAGAAAAAATTAGAACTTTATGTTTGGTGTTTGGGTTAAACGCCGACGGTGTGTGTTGGGTATGACGCTGGCGCCGCAGCTGGCGTTGCTTTCTAGGCAAAAGCAAAAGTTAGCAGTTGCTGAGCAAAAGTTAGAAAACTCCAAGTTTTGAGTTTTGGTGTGAAAGTTGTTGCGCCTTTTGCTAGCCGACGCCGCCGCCGCCGCCAACGAAGAGAACGCCATATTTTTTTTCTTTGCTTTTAATAATATTTGCTACCTACATATCTCTATCGCGCGCTGTCTGTTCGGTTGTCTGTTAAATTTTTATGTCTTTTTTGTTGTTGAATTGAGTTAGTTTAGTTAGTAAGTTTGTTTTTGGTTTTTGGAATTTCGGCGACGTCCTTGAAAACTGTAATAAGAAGTTTATAAACAAAATTATACACAAATTCACTAATACAGGCAAACAAATTTTAAACAATACTGCTACAAATACAAAGGTACATATGTATATATGTATTTAAGTTGGTTATATATTTCTAGAGACAAGGAAGTAATATTTGGAGTGAACTTTTGGGGTGAAGAGTAAAGTTCAAGAACTCAAAGGGGTCGAGAGTTTTATGCCTACATATTTTGCCCACTAAAGCACTCCACTGCTAAAGTTTTATGCTATTCTCCTAAACTAACTCAAGACCGTAATTTTCGTCTACAACAATAATAACAATAAAAACATGTGTACATACTTATTTAGTTACTTATATTTGTTTGCCTCAACGAACCTGAGCCTACGTACCCTATCGCTGGTGTTCAACTGTGATTCCATGGCATTTATGTCGGATTTGAGACGCATCATTTGCGATTCGACGCGTGCATTCTCTCTTTGCAGCTCCGATATTTCCGCTTCGAGCGTATTCAAGTCTTCGCCAACACCGACGTTGCCATTGCCAGCACTGCCACCGCCACCGCCACCGCCACCGCCAACGCCAACGCCACCATTTGTTGAGGGCACGTTGTTGTTGCTGTTGTTATTCGCTGTGCTATTGCCACTACTGCCATTGTTGCTATTATTGCCATGCAGACTGTCGGGCAGTGTGGCTGGACCGGCTACCGAAGACGAGACATTGCCCAGCGCTGCTGTGGAACTAACTACCGAAGCGTTGTTGTTGCTGCTGTTGCTAATATTACTCGATACGGAGGCGGAGACTGCGGAGCCAACACCGCCACCGACACCGACACCGACGCCAACGCCAACGCCGCCCATCATCATGTCGATGCCTGGAAAAGGAGTGGAAGTTAAAGGAAGATTAACGTTGAGTATTTTTTAAATATTTATTTGAACTGTATTATTTTTAATCATTATTCGAGTATAATTCTTTGATTTAAAAAATGTTGAATTAATTGAAAAATTACGTGTGCGTGTGCTAAATACTTTGCATCAAAAATATTTAGTTTGATTTAAAGCTAAGTGTTGACTACTAACTAAGCTTCAAAAATGTTTTTTTAGTTGATTAAAAAACCACTTTTTTCGATTTGGTTATTTAGTACATCTTGAAAGTAGGCTTAATGAGGGAATTCTTTCAAGTTAGTTTTTTCGCTGGTTGCTTCATTAATTGCCGATGGTTTTGAAAATGTTGCACTAAAAGTGTACTAAAAATACAAGAAACGAAAAGTAAATGAACATAAGTTATATATGTAAATGCACTAAATATACTAAAGTGTTTAAGCATAGTTTTCAATAAAAATTTTGGTTTTTAAGATGAACCGAAATTAATTATTGGAAATCGAAAAAATTAATTAATTTGAATGATATACAATTTTTACTAAAAATAAAAATATTTAATCTAAGCTTTTAATGCTCAAAACATGTGTTGCAACAAGCAAGACAAGAAAAGCAAACTTGACTAAAATTAGTGTCTGCTCTAAATGTGTATTAAAATACATGTACTAAAAATTTAAAAAATTAAAGTACTAAAATTGTGTGCTACACAAGAATCCTTGCTAAGCTTAATGAAAAAGTTAGTACAAACGTATGTACTCAAGTTTATGATATTGTGGAAAAAGCTGTTAATGTGCTTACCAGACGAAAAAAGTGTACTAAAATTTTAAGAAGTTGGAAAAGTTTTTACACAAAAAAAGCGTACTAAGATTTAAGGAAGTTGGAAAAGGTAGTCCCCAGACAACATATTACTAATTCCAAATTAACGCTTAAGTGCTTTAAGCGATTTGACTGAGCTTAAAAAAGGCGCCAGGTCTGAATACCGTAGGCAGCCAAGTTATGCTCACTTGGTCTTTCCTAGAAAACATCGAATTAGTAGAAGAAAAATTTTTACTAAAAGGCAATCCAAATACTCGAGGATAGGGCTATTAGGAAGAAGAAGATATAATACATTATGGCACGCGGGCAGTTTATCAGGTTGACATGCTTTCTCTTTCCCCTTGTGCGCTGTATTTGATGCCCTGCTTGTTAACTTTAACACGGCTCTAGACTCTAACTTAGCTTGCGATCTTCAATAGACGGAGAAGGTTGAACGAACCTTCAAGTCACTATAACTTGACTTTTATGGAAGCCTCACATTGAATAAAAGTCCTCCAAAGCCTTAATACCATTCTCGCAGTTGACACAGGTCTTTGGTAAAAGGTATGGTCTATCACATACAGGAATCCTGTGAATTTTTAAATCTGTGTTGTGGTTGAGCAGACTCCCAATCAGTTGCGGGGAAATCCGCTTACCAAACTTCAAAGGAGCTTTCCGTACAACATCCGGAACTGACTTGGATGCACTCCAACCGTCACTGAGTGTCTTTATCCGTCAATGTCAAGTTCCCTGAAGGTGAAACCTCAATACTGATCACGGATTTAAATATCCAAAACTGACACTCTCCCAGGATATGAAGACTATATCAAAGATAAAGGGGAAATATTCACGACTCTCTTGCCCATGGACTACGTGGTGGAAAAAATAGGTGGGCAGATGCCTTTGTCTAGTAACATTAAAACTGCACTCAAGGTATTGATCAGTCCTCTAACTGCTCACTTCCGAACTCGATTGGAAATGCAAATTTCTACTTAATTAGCTTGGAAAACAAAACGAATCTCTTCTACTTTGGGTGCCATGTCACACGGGAGCTCCTGAGAAACTTGCATGAAAATGAGCATTCCTTGGCCTTCTCCTGGTTTTGGTACTCCCCCCTACGGCCATGTTTTACACATTCCCGGATGATCTGTGTAATTGTAGACAACTTGTGGGACTGATTACCGGTCATCTCTTGTCGCAGAAACACCTGACTGTGATCGGAATATATAAACATATACTATATAACAACCCGAGAGTGCGGACCACTTTTTGTGCTTTTGCTAGGCTTTGCAAGGATTAGGTATGAGGCTTAGACTGGGATGTGTTGAAGAACCCAACAATCTGGTCCGAATACACACGAAGTAGTTCAATGCACAGCACGTAGAACGTTTGCTCGCGTTTTTTTTTTGCTAATTCCGACCAAAAAGGGTCACAATGGGCCAAGGTTGAAAAATCATATGTTCACTATAGACCAGCTAAAATTCTCTATTTTTACATTTTTTATTTAAGTTTCTGTTCTATTTTGCAGTTTTACAGCTTTCACCAAACAAATTTTATATTAGCCTAGCACTTACATGCGCTTTTTCTGGTCCAGTTCACAGAAGCGACAGAAGGGCGCTGAGTTTCGTGAAATACTCAGTGAGAGTTTGGAGATTCTTTCTGCCTAAATTAAGAAGTTTTTTGAAGCTTCTAGAGATGGACAGATACATCGTTTTGTTTGTCTCTGCCCTAGACGCCCAATCCAGTGTTTAGTGAATTTTTTATATATAGCCAGTTCGTATTTTTAGGGTGCCAACGTTATCATATCACTCATACCCTCGGTATTCAGCCCAGTACTACTTACTATTTGCTTGATTCAATGATCGTTTAAGGTGTTGAAGCAATCGTATACCAGATTTTATCTGAAATAAGGCAGCCTCTGCTTTAAATTTCTATAGCATAGATCTCTGCTTAAAAACTGGTGGGTAAGATGTCCAGTTTTAAATTTTCAAGTATGGGTTTCCTGTATTCCAAAAACCTCGATGCAAAATGGATTTTGAGTACGAGCACCCGATAATTTTTGCTTTTTGGTTTTTAGGCATGAAGTGATTCGAGATTTGTCGAGTCTATTTCGAGACTTTAGGAGATTTTTTTGGGACATTTTTGGGACATTTTTGGATTATTTCGGAATTTCTTGAAATTGTTGTGAAATGTTGGGGAGAATTTGGGTTACTTTGTAACGTTTTGGAGATTTTCGAAATTATATGAGATATTTTTTTTTTTTAATTTTTTGCCACTTTACGTAGTTTAAATGGAACTTTTCGGTATTTGTTTGGAGTTTTCAACGGACATTTAATTTTTAAATTGGTTTTTTATGATTGCCTTTAGTATTTTCAGCTAAAAAAATATTAAGAATATTTTTCTAATTTTTACCTTTTATTGCGAAAAAAGTCTCGAAAACATCGAAAGTGTTACTAAACTACCAACTTTTTTTCTCACGAGTATCGATTTTTTTAGTTTTTCAATTTAAGGGCATTACATCATCAAATATATTTTTAGCAAACTAAGTAATGTGATTTTAAGTATATTTATGAGTATTAAAAAAACGAAGACTGACTATTAAAGCTTACCTTGTTTTTCATTGCATTCGATCGGTGGGTAGGTGATTCAATATGGAACGTTTTTGTTCGGATAATTGTCGTTACGATATTCAGATAAGGTACAGTGTAAAATTCTTATAAGTGAAGATTTTTCAAATTCCAACTTGAATTTTAGAATACATTTGAAAAATTTCCAACTATGTATGTATGTATGTATTATGATGACATTTTAATATATGTAGTATTAATTTAGTTTTAATAATCATAATGTTCATTCTAGAGCAGATATTCGGCACCGATACAAAACGTCGCGTAATCTAAACACAAATAATCCACATGAAACGAAACGAAGAAAGAAAAAGAAAGAAAATGAGAGAATAATTAGAAATTAATATTAGAATTTTTTTCGTATGTTTCTTAGGTAGATCATACAATAACTGGAGTTACTAGGTTAGAGAATTCTATAGACTAGTTTAGTAATTATAAAAAAAAACTAAACAAATAAACTTAAAAACCAAAGACACAACTACAAGTCAAGGAAGTGAAAGAAATTTAAATTCTTTACTAAAATTCATAAAAAAATTTTGTATATTTGTTAGCACACGCACACATATGAAACTGAAAGGATAAAGTGATTTTATGTAAGTACTTTTTAGTGGTGTTCGAAATAAAAAAAAAAGTTTTTATTTACAAAAATATGTATCTACAATAGTTGTATAGGCATACCTGTATAGCCCTTTGGATAGACCATTGTAACATCATCGAATTTGGGTTTCTTCATACTTTGACTGGCAGCGCTGCCGCAACCTGTTTGTGAAATGTAAAAAATAAAACACGCACGCACGAAAACAAAACAAAAAAGAAGGCCAGGGTTAGTATGTTGTGCCGCTGCTGCCGAGTTGATTTGTAAGACATTACCAAAATGTTGAGCATACGCACCGTCAAACTTCATCGCAGTCGCCGCAGCAACGGCGGCTTTATGCTGTTCTACGGTGCCGCCGGCTTCAAGTACGCGCATTTTATTACGATTCGCGATGGGACAGCCGGAGGCGCTGCAGAGAGAGAGAGAGAGAGAGAGAGAAGAAAGGAGTGTGAGTTGCGGGTGGTGTGTAACAAAATCTATAATTGCATACATACATATACATACATGTGTATGTAAGTAGCTGGTTAAAGGCATATGACTTTTGTAAAAACTAGTACTGACTTGTGAAATGGAAGTAATGCTTACCTTCTGTGCGATAAAAATTTGCCAGTGGAGTGGCCAGAACCGTCACAACCAGGTATGGGACACCTGAAATGGTAATGGAATTCGAGGCTATGAAATTTGTTAGGATTATTTTTTTACTAACTAATTCTTTTTGTTTAAAAGCGTATTTAGCATTCTTCTAAGTTTTAATTATAAATAAGAAATTTTGGTCCTTTAAAAAATGCATCCCATAGCGTTGCTCGGGAGTGTTAATGAAATGCGAGCTGGGATGTTCAAACCTTAGCCATGCACAATCAGGGAAGCTGAGGAGGAAACGCTGACACGAATCTACCTCGTCATCTTCCAAAAAGCTACAAGAAAGGGTTCCTATTCAGCGATGCCCACCCAGGATTCCTGTTAGCACCAAGAGTTGTCGGTAAGCCAGCTGAAAATGTTTTTTAGGCTGCGCTTTATCGGCCTGAAGGACTTTGAAAATTTGAATGTCGGGGTTTTCGACCAGCGCTCACTGAGCCGACTGTAAACCCTGCCAGATGTATGTAGTCCGCAGGTTGCCGCAGGAACTCCGATTGACACCATCCTTGATGACCTAAAGAGTCCCCTGCCTAGACAATTTATCAGCCAAGCAGCGCATGTACTGTTGCTCTATACTAGAAACGAAATAAGCCCCCTTTGGAAGTAATCCGAGACGACTGAGAGATCAAGCAGGCAGTCCCCGACAAGAGTCGATTGCAACATAAGCGACTCAAGAGCTCCGATTGCCGCTTGGCAGATATCTGGAAGCCGTAGAGGGACAAACAACTAACTCTAATTCTACCATCCAACTTCGACCCATCCCATTCACCCTTTAGAGGGATAGATGTAGAGAAGGATCCAATTAGATCCAGCCTTGGCACACACCGATTAATTTCTTCATGTGAACTCACACGGCGGGTTGAAGAATAACCCAGTGTTTCTTAGCCTGTTGGGGCAGTGTGGACTTCGGAAGACGTACCTGCACAGTTGAGAGTAGGATACGTGCAGAGCGACTCTGTGAGTCTAACAAGAGTAGGACTTTGCATGTGTATTAAAATTTAATTTTCTAGTATATTACAGTAGACAGCCACCCCATACACGATAATTGGCTCTGTAATGGTTTGGAGAGAGGACAACCTCTTCTTAATAGCTTTATTAAATTAGTATAGAGCAACTGATGGGTTTTTACTGGATACTTAAGAATTTGGTTTCCAGGAGGGCTTGTTGTTCAGAACAACGCTCATATACGCGAAGCTGTCTCCTCTATGCAAGTCAGACTCCACTGAGTTACGCTTCAGGTATGCGTGCACAGAGAGACTCAACCACTTTCAAGGAATTTTGTATCTTAAATATAGAAAAGTCAATCAGGGCCCCGATGGTCTTCAATAGCAGGGCTGAGATAGGTCTGAAACCAAAGGAACACGTGAGACCAGCTTGCGTAGATAGCTTATAGCCTCAATACAGTTTATCAGCCAAAGTGGGCGGCATTTTGCCAGTAGCACTGCAGAAGAAAACAAAGCAGCCCAATGGCCTTATACTATTTACGTGGTTCAGGATTTGTAGGGAAATGCGAATTTAAGAAAATATCAAGCGATTCCTTTTCCTCGTTGCAGAATTGCCAAGCCAATAAGGGAGGAACTTACAACTTTACGCCACCCCCTAATGAAATATGGTTTTATGCATGGCCCGAAAATAACAGTTAATTTTTAACCGTTAAATTTGACCAAATATTTTTTAAGTCCGAAATAAAAGTTCTTTCCGGATAATAACAAACCGCTTTTTTCGGTCCCTGCTTGCTTGGACCAGGGATGAAACCCAGATCCTACGGAGTGGTAGTATTTAGTTTTAACCACTCGGCTATAGCGAAAGTGAAGTATCTCAAGTCGCATAAAGAATCATGGCAGCCTTTGAAGTATTCGCAGAATTTTTTCATGAATCTCGCTGGGATTTTCCTACCTTGGACTTATAGACACCCACAGAGTTTTCAGTCGGAGAGTGAAGTGTACTCTTATTGAAAACATCTCCCCTTGGCGCTCTGCACTCAGAACTCCATTATCGACCAGTTAGGGTTTACTTTGACCAATGGGATGCTCAGCGGGCACGAACTTGAACAGATCATCGAACGAGCTTTCGCCATGTAACTTAAGCGTTTCTGGCGCTCTATATTTAGCTTTCTTTCAGTTGGCGGTCAAATTTCTTGTTTTTTTCGGAAAATTTTCAAGTCTCGGGCGATAGTTTCGAATTTTGTGAGTTTTTTTATAAGATTTTCAGCAAGTTTTCAGGACCCACTGTAATTGATCGGTAATTTTCAGATTAAACGGTAAATTTGAAATATAAGTTTGTGTTTAATACATGCCTTAATTTCTATAGAAAGCGAAAACTACCAGCTTATTTCATCTTAAAAAAAATTGAAGAAAATTTAGCCGGTTTTTATTATTCGAAATATTAAAAATCTAATCGGTTTTGTATTTACTCTTTTTTGTATTTACTCTTGTATTTACTCTTCCCCATCAACCTGAAAAAGTTCTTTTACTCTTTTGTCGCGAGTGACATTTTTTGCATAACTATTTGTAGAACATTTTAACCCTCTAGCGGTCAATCTCTTAAAAACAAGGTCGAAAAACTCGTTCTGCTAAGAGCTAGCGGGTTAATGTGTTCTACGAAAAAAACGTCCCAGAAGATACAAATTATTTTGAAAGTCGACTTATCCACGAAATTACAGCTTTCTGAAAATTAAATTTTTGAAATTTTAACCTTATGCAGCCATCTGTAAATAGAATTTACCATAAGGTTGTGCTTTTTATAAGGTCTCGAAGACAAAGGATACAAATTTTTAAGAAAAATATCTGCCTACTTCGACTTTTTTATTTCTCGACTTCAAGGAAAGACTTAATTGTGAACTGAAATCATTTCGACAGACGTCAAGACAGTGGGTACTAATGTACACTCTCACTCAGTACAAAGCGTTGTCTCGAAACCCCACATTTAAAAAAAAATACATATATTCAGTAAATAACTCTCACCTAAGCGGCTCCGAGTCCTGTCCATCGCGTGGCTTGCTCTTCGGCTTGTTGGCGCGCGGACAACCCGATAGACTGCGATGTGACGAGTAGTTACCAGTGACATGTCCTGAACCATCGCAGCCTGGCGTGGGGCATTTCAGTTCCTGCGAGTGTGGCTGCAAATGATTTCGATCGCTGCGCGTACACCCAGTCAAGCTATTGAAAAGAGATTAGAAACATAGAAAAAAATGAAAAAACAAAACCATTCAAGTTAGTCAAATAAAAGAAAACGGAAGAATAAAAGCAGTCAAGCAATGCCAACTTTAAAGCAAACAAGCCAACCCCGCAAACCTACTCGAGCAGGCACTTAACCCACTGCAATGATAGTTGATGGCTAAAATCAATCGGCGTTGGCAAATAAATTCGCTGCAAAAGTTGGCTATTGAAAGTTCGCTTTGGATTTGATAAATTTATCTAGCAAATTGCAAACTTATCGCTGCCAACAGCAGCAGCAGGATTGTAGTATGTGCAAGTGTGTGTGTGTGTGTGCGCGCCCTCTGAAAGCTAAGCTGGTAAACCCGTTTATCCAGCAACTATCAATTGGTCAGCGTACACTTGAGTGCGCACTTAAAAGTTTAAGCCAACCAACTGCCGTGCCACTTGCCCGCTTGCAGCTCGAATAAAGACAAAAGCAGCTAACTGTCAGATGTATTGAAGCGTTCGAAAAGCCAACTATCAAATTGGATCTCAGCAGAACAATGCGGGTGTTTCTCTCGAGCTGCCCAGAAGCTTTCCATATAATCTCTTACTTCATTCAAATCAAAGCAGTCACTTAAAATACACATTGAAGATTCAAGCAATCCAAGCGCTTTAAAGTTGGTATTTCGTAGCCAAAGCGCTACATTATTAGTTAGAGCACAATCTCGGCACAGGCACTCCCTTCAACTGCCGGCCTTTCCTTTCATCGCACACACCCTCCACTTCTCGTCCATTGCACACCACCTGTCCGGCATGTGCCCGCTCGTTTGTTAGTAATTTCAATTTATTGCCACTCTGCCATTTGGGGGCCACACATCTTTATAAATATTAAAGTCAAGCAAAAAGGATACAATTTTCTGGTGCTCCTTCGTACCCATCAGCTGCCATCAACACTCGTTTTCATTATCGTTGCCGACGTTCGACAATGTCACAACACACAATGGTCCTTTGTCAATGCAAAACTCGTCTGATAAGTGTCATTATTGCATATTTTAATATTTTCTCCATAATATTTCGTGTACCACCGACCATATGT